TTAGCTACTTCCTTTTATCTGCTTCCAGTGGTAATTTTGTGAAAGGTTTTCCGTGAACTAGTGTATGGGCACAGCTGTGATCCCACAGCCACGTCTGGCTCTAAAGGAAGCGTCACCTTCAGAAAGAAACAGAGCTGGGCAGGCTGAGGAGTGCCGCCTCTTTTCCCTGCCCTGCATCTACCCTGAGCTGAGTGGACCCTGCCCAGCCTCACTGTAATGCCCAGTGCAGACGCCCAGGACCAGCATTAACAGCAGGTCAGGGCAGCGCCTAGCCCCTGCCCCTCTCCCCGCACCCTGTGTCTGTGACGCAGTTGCTCTGTGTGCCTGTACTCCTGAGGAAAGCAGCTGAGGGAGAGAGGAAGGACGCTGTGGTGGCTAATTCACCTGATTGTGTCACTTAGATGACATGCCCCTTGGCTCACTCTGACCATTCGTCTCCTTGTTATTGATTTCAGAAAGCTTTCCACCACCCTGCAATGCATTTTAAAACATCCAAGCACTAGCTTTTCATGTTTCTTACCTTCTAGGACAAAATATGAGCATATTTCAATTTAAAAGAATCTGTCCTCTTGTTTAAGCGCTTGTGTTCTTTTCAATTGAAATAGCATAGAGTGAAGTGCAGAGATCTTAGAGATACAGTTCAATGAATTTTGAGGCATGTGTACACCTGTGCAGTCATCACCCAGACCAAATTATAGAACATTTTCATCCTCCCAGCAGGCTCTCTTGTACCTTTCACACTCAATACCTGCCCTAGGGTAACTGCTGTTCGGAGATCTCTCACCATTGATTTGTTCTGCCTGTTGTTAAACTTCAATCAATGGAGTCATACAGTATGCCATTTTTCTGGTCTGGCTTCTTTCACTCAACACTCTGACTGTGAAGTTCATCTGTGTTGTTAGGTGTAGTTCTTTTTATCGCATTTGCTGCTTAACAATGATGTTAATAATGACAATAAATAGTTTGTATACTACTCTCCAATCCAGTGTTTAATTCTGAAGATACCTCTCTGTGATGCTGCCGAAGCATTTACTGTTAGACTTCTTTTAGAGACAGAAGAGCTGCTTCGAGTCTTTCAGCATTGCCCCTGAGGTCACCCACCTAATAAATGATGATGCCAGGACTAGTTCTGTTTAAAGTGAAGCCTGTGGCTTAACTTGGGTCCAGGTTGGTGGAAGACATAAAGGATGGGAGGAGCAAGGGCCGCCAAACTGGACTTTCATTGATGGTTTCCTTTGTGCTGTTTTGGTTAATTGAAAGAAGTTAAGGTTCAACCCAGCCAATGCCCCAGCGTGTGCATAGTATGTAATGGATGGGGAGGGAGAGGAGAAAAGTAGCTGAGTTGGCTCAGCAGCCAGCCACATTCTGGCAACTCTACTTAGCAGAAAGCAGACTATGTGAGTTTTGTTCCCAGTTGCATACAAATTATGTGTTTGCCCAGTGAGGCTGATGTTTGCAGGCTGCTAAATGTGTCACAGAGAATTTTTGCTAGAGTGGTATTATCAGAACTTTATGGCCTCCAGATGTGGGGGAGCCATCTTAGGCGCTGAGCAGCGTAGTGCTTTGGAAAGCAGGAATGGTGTGAGTTTTCCTCTCCCTTTACTCAGGCAGTCCTTGCCACACAGCTTAAGTGTCAATGCTGCATCGATATCTTATTGATGGCCTCAATTGTACTGCACAAGAAGGGTTCCCATTGTGAAGGTATCAGACTTGAGACAAAGAGAAGCTGGTTTCCTTTACCTCCTAAAGCATTTTGCCAATACCCAGCTATTCTTTAGCATTTTTAAGCAAGCACGATCATTGCAGATTTATGTATGTGGGCATGCCGGACTTCTATAAGCCCCCATGGCCCACAAATCTGGCTTAGGGTGTAGCCTCTACCACTGTGATAAAGGTTCTTAACAAATGGTTAAAAGTATGGGCCCGGTGGTCATAAAGCTGAGTTGAGAGTCAGAGGCTAGGGACACTCAGACCCAAGAAATCCAGAGTCCCACCACCTGGATCAGAACCTCGGAGAGCTCCAGGTAGCCAGCTGCTGGCAGCTGGAGGCAGGCAGGAGTTACTCCAGTGCCAAGTCCACCCTCCTCTGCAGTAAAGAGCTTTTTGTGTGTGGATGATAAGGGACTTCAAGGATTTGGGCCTAAGTACTCATGGGCTTATGGATAAAGCTGTACATTGCATTCTTTAAGCATGGAGGGAAGTGAAGATTCCCACTGGACGCGCAGGTGGGGTGATTTGGAGTCCCCTCGCTAGAGCCATGAAAGCAGTTTTTCCTTGGAGGTGAGGTGTAGCAGGAGAGCTCTGCTGAAGTAATCACTGGAGTGTGAGTTTGTTTTTGAGTCCCTGCTTTCAGTTCTTTGGGGTATATACCTAGGAGTGGAATTGCTTGGTCATGTGGTAGTTCTGTTTTCCACAGTGGCTGCCCCATTTTACATTTCCACCAGCAATGTACAGTGTTCCAATTCTCCACATCCTCATTAACACATGGTTTCCTTTTTTATAAAAACAATTCTAGCCATCTTAGTTGGTATGAAGGGGTATCTCATTATGATTTTGGTTTGTATTTCCCCTGACTAAAGGAGTTGAGCATCTAGTCATTTGTTTATCTTCTTTGGAGAAATGTCTATTCAAGTTCTTTGCCTGGTAGTCATATTTCTAAGGCACTATGGGAGGAATGGAGAGAGACAGAGAGATTGAGGAAGTAGATAGAACCCACTTGGGTGGCTGGTTAGACATGGCAGTTAACACTGAGTTTGCCAGCCTAGGTAAGGGGGTAGATGATGGACTCTCTCCTAAAGAAGGGGTAGTATGGAGGGGGGTTTAGGGGATTGGTAGGGCTGCGTTGAGCCTGGTATACCTGGGTGTTGTACAGGCGGAGAGCCTACAGGATGTGCCACCACACCCATGTGTCTGATATGTTTCTCCGGGAAAATACAGGACACATTTTAAATTTTGTCTCCTCCCTGCTTCCACCTAAAAATCAGCTTAAGGAATTTGGTCATCATTAAACTTCTCGATCTGGCAAATGTAAGCAGTCAGTGTGGGCATACATGAATCCTGGTGCTGGTTTCTCTGCCCTTAAACACTTGCTTTTGATCAGATCAGTGCTTCCAAGTGCATGGGGTGCTGCTCTGAAGCCTGGGGTGCAAGCATTCTTAACCATGGCTTCTGAAGCCATCTGCAGTAATCACCCCAGCCTCTCAAACGTTTGCCCCTCTCTGATCCTTCCCCAGTTGCATGCCACTAGCTGTTAGTGCTAAGCAGATGCTTGCCATGTCACCCACAACCCACTGAATCTCTCTGAATTACTCCTTGGCAACATTGGGCGCTACACCACCGCATTACGTGGTGTCCATTCATATTCACACTGTATTGGGAAGTGAGATTTGAGCAACTGTTCTACCCCCAAAGAACCCACTGTTGGGGAATGAGCCCCCATGGTGGCTTGTTTTCTTTGCTTCTAGAACCATAGGCTGGCAGCCGCCACTAAGAAACCATCCCATCATGTGGCTCAGGGGGGCAATGTTTGCAGATTGCCCCCTGATGCCATCTGCCTGTGAAGCTGCAGAAACCCCCGGCAACTGCTGTTTTAGCAGGTGCCAGGGCTGCTGCGGTGGGAGTCTGTGTACATATCCATGCATGCACGCAGCTTTGTGCTCTGTTGGCCTGGGGTGCCAGCTGAAACTCTCAACCCAGCAAAGCGCCAGCCACAGTTGCTGGTTTCCGGTGGGGCCCTGGTGAAGGAGGGAGGGAAGGAGGGTGAGGCTGTTGTGAACTGAGCCAGCCATCCAGCAACTGGGGAATTGACTACAGTGACTCTGGTGTGTCGGAAGCTTCCAGGCAGTGGCTGTGTTTCGACAAGCTTTTGTTCTTTTCTTTCTGCCTCTGCCCAGGCCAAATTGTCCCCTGCCTAATTGACCATATTCATGTTCATGCCAGAGAAGTAGCGCCCCTACATTTCTTGCCCCTTGCTCTTTCTAAAGAGCACCTTTCATCCTTGAGCCCTTCCTGCCCCTCAGCCATGCTCTGGGTGTAGCCCCTCAGCTTTCTTTTTCACTGAGTCATTGTGCTCATGGGTTTGCACACGTACCCAGAAACCCCCAGCTCCAGATCTGTAATTTGTGAGTTACTGGCTTTTCAGGTTATTCATGCTTTTGAAAATAATTATGTAAATTATTAAAGTAATTTGAAATAATTGTACCAGCCATCAGGTCTTAAAAATCCATATCGTAATAGAGCTTTGATGCGAGACCTCCTAGAGCAAGCTTTGCTGTAAAGGGCTGGGTACTTTAGGCTTTGATCTCTCTTCCAAGTGCTCATCTCTGCTGCGTAGCATCAAAGCAGCCATAGAAGAAACTTAAACAAACAAAGGTGGTTGTGTTGTGATGAGACTTTATTTATGAAAACAGGTGGCAGGCAATAGATTGCTGACCTGTGGCCTAGAATAACAGCCTTTATTTCAGCTTATTATCCTTATATTTTTCTTTGTCAAGAGTTAAAAAGCCAGAGGAACTTGATGATTGTAAATGAACTTAAATCATCTTCTTTTGGGTTTAGCATGAACGTGAGCACAATGGTGATTTGGGAATACACTTCTCTAAACCTCTGTTGGGAAGAATAGAAACCAGAAAGCTGTTGAGGAATAACTCTGCTTGGCCAGAGCTTGTCATTGTTTAAAAAGTGGAACAGGCTGTCACTTACAAGATGTGCAGTGGCCTGTATGTATCCCTCATTCTCTTTATGGTCACTTGGAATGGCCATAGTCACATAAGGTCACATCACCATATTGGACATGATTTTACTTTGTAGGACCAGGCACTTTTCTAATAAATTTAAGGAAAACAAGCTACAAAAATTTAGAGAATGGCATTTTTAAAATATCGTTATACTGCACTGAGGTCATTATAGTTGATTTCCAGAAAGCTGAAGCATAAGATATTCAAAGAGGCATTTAAAACTTTTAAACTACAATCTTGCTTTCATTTTATCTATCCCCACAGGAAATAAAGAAAGAGATGAAGAAAGACCCTCTCTCCAGCAAAGCTCCAGAAAAGCCCATGCACGAAGTATCCAGTGGAAATGCTTTGCTGTCTTCTGAAGCAATTCTAAGAACCAATAAGAGAGGTATGGAAACAAAGAGAGAGCCCCTTCCCCCCACACAAAGCGAAACTGGAGACTTCTGGGTGAACTGTGTCAAATTTCAAATGGCTGAAGAATTGACTGGCATTTGCCCTTTTGGGTTTTTTAGTATAAATTTTGGACACATACGCAGCAAGTAACAACACAGTAACTATAATAAAGGGAACTGATAATATTTTTGACACTGGGAAAGTCGACTAAATTTGTAAATGATGATTTTTCTAGGACTTCAGCGTTTGTTTTCATAGACCATAGGGAATGCTATGGTGCAGGTCGAGCTGTCCATATCTGGCCACGCTCTCTTCTTAGTTTAAGGGCAGGTTTTATCAGGATCTTTCTCTCTTTAACCACTGGGCTCCTTTCCCTCTTGGTTTAGGAGGCAGTGTGGACAAAGGTAGAGCTCATCCATCTGTCTAACCAACAGACCTTTAACTATCATGTTTCCTTCTTTTGAGAGCTCAAAGCAGATTTTTAGGTATCAGCTTGTTAGAGTTTCGTCTTCTCCCGTATCCCTCCCACCTTTGGGACATTGTTTGAAATGATAGGAGAGAGAGTATAAGGCTGCAGAGAGGACTCGGCTCAATTTCAGATTCTGGTCACACTAGATTCCCTGGGTTTTTCCCGACCCTGCCCTCACGGTGCATCTACTAAGCCCATAGGTTAGCATTCAGCTGCAGGCTTTTCACGGGCTTATTACTTCCTTAAAAAGAAATATAGAGCTGTTCAAAAGCAGGAGCAGGAAATGTATTAGCAAAGAGTTCCATTAAAAAAAAAAAGAAGGCACGTTTACATAACCACAGAGAAGAACAGCTAATCTTTCATAAAATTTAGACAGCATAAGAATTTGTCCAATAAACTGTCCATTGATCATAGTGCTTGAGACATTAGCTTTGTGTCTCTCTTCCTTCCTGCTTCTTCCTCTATCCCCTCCAGCTGCCCTGGGTTACATTTCCTTTTTTTTTTTTTGAATTACTCAGATCAAATATTGGCTGGAGGCCCACACTGGTTAGCAACTATAGGATTTTCCCTCCCTCCCCTCCCTTCTCCCTCCCCCTCCCTCCCCTCCCCTCCCCTCCCCTCCCCTCCCCTCCTTTCTTCTTTCCTTTCTTTCTTCCACATCTTACCAATGCAGGGATTTCCCATGTTAAGAATTAAGCACTCTTTGCTGTAAAACTGCAGTCATCCCCAACAGTGTCTCCTGCATTCTTGTAAATAAGTTCCAGAAATCCCGAGGCCAGCCTGCCCTCATGGGATTTGGAGAGCTAGACCTCAGTGAGCCTGTCTGCATGTCTCCGAACCTCCCTTGCTGATCTGAACCCTCTGGTTCCTCCTGATGCTTCTGGGGGCCGTGGGCTGAGGGATGGCATGTGTGTCGATCAGTGGCAAGGCCTCTCTGCCAGCCCTGTTTTTTAAAGTAAATAAAAGAATTAAGGTAATTAATTAAATTTAACAAGACAAGGAATTAATTAAGGAATTAAGGTAATTATGTGGATGAGTTTGATAAAATTACCTGAGAACTTTAAATCAAAGAAGGAATCGAAATTTTCAGATAATCCTCCTTACAATAGAAAATCTGGCCTTGGAGTTCCCTTATGAAATTTTTCATTAGCCAAAGAATGGCATGCAAGGGGTGGCTTACTGACTACATTCCTTTTTTAAGCCTCTACCTTAGGCCTGCCGTCTGATTCTGACCAACCTTTTGCTGTTAGGTCTTTTATATAATGAATCTCCCAGTGGCTCTGAGACCTTAGCACATGAGGGTGTCCTGTAAAAATGAAACACATAACAAACCATCTTCATTCCATCCCAGGCCTCACAGTGATCCTCCCCCCTCCGTCACCTGGGTCCAACACAAATTTCCAGTTGAAGGGAAGCATTGTGTACCAGGGCTGGTGCCTTCTTCAGCCCTGCCCCCACTGGTCAAGACTACCAGGATCCTACTACTCCTTTTACTGAACAGCGGGCAGATTGATTGGCCTTGTCAGCCCAGATAAATAGTTCATTGTGCTGAGCTGAAAAGCTACATTTTTTTCCCACCCCAAATCAATGAAAAACCACTTTTTTTCTTAAAACGAGGGTCAGAGGCTAAATCTGTGGGATGATTCTAGTTACTTGGAAACACTTCCGTCCAATCAATTTTTCAAGTTTTATGAATTATTGTAAATGACTGAAGTCTCCTCCTCCCCTTGGTTTCCATCAACCTTTGTCACTAGAAATCTCCTGGACACTTTTTGTCTATTGCTGTTGTTTTAGAGGGAAGTTGCTTTCAGAGCTTAGTAATAGCTTGCTTTGATTTCTCATAGTATATGAGTCCGCCTTGTAATTCAGCCTTGGACCCCGTGAGAAGTTAATAATAGCATTAACATAAGTTATTTTTCTATATCAAAGATGAGATGACTGTTTATGTTATGTGGGCCTTATCATTTGATAAGGCTCAGCATTGGTTCAGTAAAGAAAGATCAAAGTCTGTTTCTATTATGAATCTGAACTTAAACCACTTCATTGGGTCCTGAACTTGAGACAGACATAGCCGAAGAAATTCGCCCAATTGTGTCCAGCGGTTTTTGCATTTAGGGGCATGGCTCACTTTGCGGTGGTGGTAAATGGGTTGTAGTACCTCACAGTGTGGGATGAAGTCACCCTCCTGAGGCACCTGCAATAGTTAAAAGATACCCTAGGTTTGAAGAAAGCTATTCATAGCCTTGAGAAAGGCCAGGACCGTGGAAACATCAGTTTGGGGACTGATTAGTTTCAGTTTTTAGCTTTAACCTTTGCAAATTTCTGCAGAGTTGATTTAAGAAGGTACTGGAATGACTCCACGGGCTTTTCATTTGAGAAAAAGATGCGACAGACAGACAGACAGCGAAGGAGCGGGGAGGGAGAGAGAGAAGGAGGCAGAGAGAGAGAGAGAGTGCAGGCCTCCAGAGGGCTTGGCAGTCATCAGCTACACATTCCAGGCATTTTGGACTATAGGACAGTTGTGCCTACTCCACCCCTGGCCACTTCTCTGGGTTTTACCTGAGTCACAGTGAAGGAGCTTCCTGTTTAAAGCCAGCCTTTCCCAAGGAGTAAGAAGTCATTTTTCATTTTAGCTTGCAGCATGGATGTTGTATATCCTAAAGTTATCCCAGACTCAGAATGTTGACAAATTGCAGGCAGAAAATCTGAAAACTTTTCTTAGAGCCAAATGTCATTCCTATGAACCAGACTGAAAAAGTTGTCTGTTAGCTTCTGAGAGTGATTTATTACTTTGTTTCTTCTACCAGTAAAACCATACAGGGGAATGATGGGCCCTCCTAAATTGGAACATTGCTATATGGAGGAGCTTTATAAAAAACAAACATTCAAACTTTGAGTTTAAGTGCAAAATGAAACAAGTGGACATTTTAACAGTTGAGAGCAAATACGCTAAATAATACTTGAAAATGAGCGAGGGGGATTTTGTCCATTTGAACATGGACTCTTTTTCAATTTGAATTAAAACGAAAGAACAAATCATTTGGTTTCATCTTTAGACGGCTTTCTGGACCAACTTTATCCATACGGTAGGTTGTCTCCAGGCTGCAGTCAGTGCCCTGCCGGCCTATGGAAGGACCAGCTTCGATCTCAGGGCTCTAGTTTCCTAGTTTCTGACTTGTTAGCGGGCCTCGTGGCGAAGCTGCCTCTCACAGGACTCCTCCTGCTGCCTGTAATTTTGGGCATTGTTCCTTCCTCACTTTTGGGTGGATGGATACAAATGAACTTTCTATAGCACATGTTTCCTGCATGTCCACTATGGGCCTGCCCTTGGGCTTGGTGTGGAGGCCAATAGAAAGACTTAAAAACCAGCATTCAGCCCTGTCTGCAAGCGATTTCAGTCTGTTCTATCACTTGGGGAATGTTGAGAAAGTGCTGCACATTTTGTATCTTTTATATGGCAAGATGGGGATATGTCTCTTACTTCTGTCATTCTGAATGTGAAGCCACTCCGCAAGTTTCTGGTTGGCTTTATATGTCCTTGTTTCTATTTCCAGTTTATCATGAATTCAGTGTTTGGTAAGTCTCTATTGTATTTTGCACATTTACTATTCTTTGCTATTATTACTATTATTATTATTATTATTATTATTATTATTATGCTCTCCTGATATTTATTATTATGCTCTTGTGATATAAATGTATTTTATAATCATCTTTTTAAGTCGCTCTGCTACTTTGGCATTTGCCTTCTGAAAGATAAACTGCTTTTACCATCTTTATTTAAGGTTTGTTATGCATTTGCATTTTACTGCCTTTTCCAGAGATTAATGCTGAAAGGTCTGATGGTTTAAAAGATGTTATTTGTAACACGTCTAGCACTGATGCTCTGAGATGAGAGTCAAGTTGAGATGGGGGAGGGCCGCTCTCTGAATTGGTATGTGGATGTGACTTTGATTGTAGAACATTGCTCTGCGGGCTCATTTCTCATGTGTTTTGTCCTTCAGACAGGTTTAATTCAAAAGTTTTCCTTAACAGAGGGATCAACAGCTGCTCTGCCTCTGGTGACACACTGTTGCTTTAAAAGTTAGTGCAGAAATTCTTCAGACTTCATTTTCTGTGTGGATGGGGGACACACACATGCCCTTCAACATGAATATGGGCCTAGTGTTTGCTGCGCAGAAGGGTTCTCCATTTTGGTCTGCTGCCTGTCGCTGTCAAAAGAATTTTACCTAAGGTTTATCTTTATTTTCCCTATAATCTCAGCACTATTCATTCTAATCCCTAAACAGATCTGGCCATAGTGACCACCTCCCTCCTCTTGTTTCTGCTTTCAGTTGTTTAGCATTTACTTGGCTACTTGGAATAATCTTCTCAAGGTAATTGGTTGGCTTATTCATTAGAATGTGAGTGAGGGTATGCACGTGTGTGCAAATGTGCACGTGCTGGCGTGGAACTCTCGCGTTGGCTCTCAAGCAGTGGCCTGGCTCTCCATAGGCTGTTGGCTCTTTGTTTGAAATGAAACTGTA